GTTGCTGGTTACAGTTACAACGGAATTATCGTTCCACCTTGCAACTAATACTTCTGCCTTTTTGTCGAAAGCATGATCAAACTCGCCTCTGTTTTTCTTTCCAAGCACTTTACTACTTTGTAGAGGACATCCTGGTGACCTATTCTCTCTCACGGTGCTAGTAAAGAAAATTCCTTTTTCACCTAGAATGTGAAATAGTGCATAACTCGAAAAGAAGTTGTCGAAGAAAACTCTATGTTCTGAAGGGTTTTGCAATACACGTAGCAGATCCAAAACTACTTACGTCCCTAACGTGTATTGTGATTTCTGCCTTTCTGGATTTGCGCCATCATAAGGAATGAATTGGTATAGATATCCCTCTGAGCTACACAAGCACCAGACCTTGAAGCCAAAGCGCACTGGTTTACCCTTCATAAACATCTTTGCAGAATGTCGGCTGAAATAAGGAATCATTTGTTCATCTATATACATATTAGGAGAAAATAGTCCAAACTGCAAATATCGTTCGTTCATCAGCAAAAATAATGGACGTATTTTGGCAAATTTATCATTTTTGTCTGTCATTATTGTCAGAGACATGAAAATTTCTTTTTATGTTTCGGAAGGTGTTTCGACTCATGTACTTTCTTACCAGCTCCACGCCTTTATCTGGGTCTTTTGACCAATACATATCACACGCCGGAAGTTTATGATAACCGGTAAGGATTAAAATACCAAAAAACTTTTGCAGTTGAGCTGGAGAGCGTTTAAAATCATGTCTGTTGTTTTCCCGGGCATACGTCAGGTTGAATTCGAGTATCTTCTGGAATAAAATATCGTCAAAAAATAAAGAGAATATTTCAAATGGTGTTTTCCCAGCCAGTCTCAGCTTTATTTCTTCCTTTTTATTAAATTCATTGTCTTTTGGAGAAGATGAATAGTTTTCTAACGATTTAGACCAGTCAGGTGTATATTGCGTTGGTTTGCATTTTCGTTCGGAATTTACTTTTCTTTTCTTCCCCCTTCTTGTAGATGGTTCCAATATGGATTCTGTGGGCGTCTTAGCCTCTTCTCGAGACCTTGTGTGAATCTCAAATGTACCAGCGATGTCAGTCAAAGCTTCTTCCTCTATAAGAAGATTATCATTCGAATCCTCTTCATCTGTTAACACATCAACTAAAGGAGGTATATAAACTGCCTCTATATCATCCGCTTCTTCTAAATCAGAATCATCCTCCAGTATAGCTTGCAATTCTTTCACTATCAAATATGGATAATAAATTTAGGGATCGCGCCAAAGTTTCGTAAACGAAACATTATCTTTAAAGTGTTATAAAATTTTATGAGTAGTCATATTTCAAATTATGTTTGGATAATATCATTCTACAATCTCTAATTGAACAAAGAATGCCGGTTTGGTCGAATTTTAAATATCTTGTGATATATTATGCGAGCTCAAACGACACCGACAGATACTAGTAAATTTGGAGTGTTTTGTTTATTATTTTATAAACTATGCAGCACATAATTTAGACCATTAAAATAACAAACACGTCAATAAACTATCTATATGAAAGACTCATACATAAAATATAATTAATCATCATATGAAAATCGTAAAAAAAATAATTAAAAAAATGTTTCGTTTTCGATACTTTGGCCATTAATGGGTTAATTTCTCATAAGCACTTTAATCACATCTAATTTGGGAATTTATAAAAAAAATATTCAGATATAAAACTTAACAATACTAATATAATTTATTCTTTTCATCTCCACATCATTGTAATTTATTTAACAAAACCCTATTAATTTAGTTCCCACAGACTTTTGACAGTTTATTTTTCTGACGTTTATTTTTGAAATTTCTATGTTTAAATAATTTTTTAAGAATTCTTCTTTTTTATTCCTTTTAAGGTTTAGACGATTCACCTATACACTAGGCAACTATACTATTCAGAAATTATTAACACTATACCAGGTAAGTCAAAATTAATTTATTTAGCAATTTACTAATCTTTTCTCCCTTTTATTTCAGAGTCGACCCCACATTGTGATGGCTTCATGAAATTCATGAACAACAAACTCATATAAAAATCCCTTTAAGTTATATCCTCTTTGACATATTGAAATCATTTCAATATATACATGCAACCAAATGTGAAAAACATCCTTTTTTTATTGTAATAATTGTAATATATATTGAAAGTGAATTGAAAAAAAATATTATTCAGACATAAATAAAGTTAGGTTAGAATTGACATGTAAGGTTGTCTGATATTGATTACTCGATTACCGCAAGGCCGAGATATACAACAAAAAAAGAAGATGTATTTGGTGACTTTTCTAGTAACTTTCTTGAGTGTAAATCTGTCTTTTTGGTTTACTCCTCCTGGTTAAAAAACAGAGTATAGTTACTTGTTTACAAAAAACGGTTCAGTTTCGTTAACGATAAAAACGTCAACAACTCACCTTTACTGTTTTTCTCGCTACTATAATGTCCTTACTTTGACAATTCGACGTTGCCAAATAATTTTGTAAGAAGCTTTTTTATTCTGGCGTCATAATGCAGTTTATATTATTTTTATCGGAAATAAGGCACAATGTGACTTTAAAATAAGCTTATTTTGATGTTTAGATTTCCAATTCGGAAATTGTACTTAAAATATGAAACATTAATAAATTTTATTTATATAAAATGATTTCTGAAGTGAAAATGTTAAATTTAACTTATTGTAAAGGAAAATTGTGGCATATTTAAAATAAAAAACAGTAAGCTGCCATTTAAATCAATTCGCCCAAATTTGATTATCATAGAACATTGTTAAAATGCTAAAAAGACAACAAGTTAAATAAAACAAATAAGTTTTGCAACATTAAACGTCCCCTCTTTTATTATTTCCACTAATGCATTTTCGACCATATAAAGGACGGACCTAATATACCTCTCTCTTTTTAAACAGGTGTTTCTCACTCAATCTCACGTAAGGTACATGCCGACCATAAACTTTTACCTATACCATATATAAAAGATTCAGAGTAAGTATACAAAATATCCCAGAGTATAGTAGGAAATTTTTAAAACCTTTAATACAAATCTTCTATGTAATATATGTAATATTGATTTTAAATTATGACAATTTCGTGATACTTATTGCATGTTTTTCTAGCTACCTACCTACAGGCAGGTATAAATAATTCTGTATTCTTGATAAGAAGTTTAAATGGAGATAATAGAAATGGGTTGTTATTTGGAGATTCTGATTATACAGTGAAGCCATTTTTAGGAAGTCCACTAAACAATCCTCGAAGAAAAATTATATAATGAATTCCATATTAAATCCAAATATGTAACAGAATTTTTTATGTATGGAAGGGATGGTTTAGGTACTATTTCATCCAATGGAAGTGGCTGAAATGAATGATAGCATGTTTAAAAATATAGCTTTGGGACTAGTTTGGGAGGTAGTCTATTGATAAATTTTTAACTCAACTCAACAACTTTTTTTTTGAAAAAAAAAAGTACAAAAATACAAAAATGTAAAAACACTTTTTGGCTTTGAAAATAAAGAATAAACTATGCTAAACATTAAAACATTATATTGAGAAATAATAAAAAGTTATATCAAATAAATTAAACATTGTATTAACTTTGAAAAAATAAAAATCCTGTAATTAAGAGTTTTTAGATGAGGGACCTGGAATAGCCTCATCTTCTTCTGGTGTTTTGTACCATTCATATTTTTCGGAACTTAAACTTAATTTAAGAAGGTCCTGCTTCAACTGAAGCAAATGAAACATTTCATTACAAGTCTTATCAAAATTTACATACACCTGCATCGCTGCCTTGAGAGTGGCAATGGACATTTGGAACTTTTCCGGCGTCCAATAATTATTTATTATAGGAAATAAACGCTCGATAGCTGCACTAGTACCCGGAATACAAAAAATAAATTTTCAAAAAATATTTGTAGGTTTTTCAGGTCTGCTAAGGATTTTGTGATGTATTATGTGTTTCCTGCTATTGGTCTGGGGTGTTAGAGAACTATATTTGTTATTTGTTACTGTCTCTGATGGTCTATTGGTAACATCCACTTTTCTTCTTTTCAAGGTTTTTTTAACTACTTGCCAAGGATTTTCTTTATTTTGCTGGCTCTCATCAAATCCTATGAATCCTTCATTGCTAGTTGATAATCTTCTATGGTGATGTTGGCTATTATTTATTGCATACTGTGTGGGAATTGGTTGAGCTTCAATATTCTGAGGTTGCTGGTGTTCTGGTGTGTATGTGTTGCAAGGTGGGACATCCTGTATAGTCCATTATTTGTTGACAACTTTGTTGATCGTAATTAATTCCTGGCCCATTAAAAGCAGGTAATGTATTTATTCGTTTATCTGCTAGTGAATTAGTTGACCACTTTTATTATTACATGTTACATTACAAATTCGTTTTGGATAATAAACCTAGCTGGAGTACCTACATTTGGAAGAAACATCTTTAACTCAGCTTAATCTAAGTGAATATGTATTACTATATGAATCAAAATAGCAATATCCAGTTTTATTTTATATATAACAAGTAAACTGCAATGACGTTGTTAATCTTTCAATTTAAAAAAATATATATATCAAAATTTTGATATGCCTAATGTGATCTAACACATGTAACTTGTTTCTTGATTCTCATGAACTGAAAGCAAAACTTGATTTGCTTGTGTGTAGTAATGATATTCTAGTAAACCTTATAAATGTATTATAAACTCTACTTAACAGAGTACCTGCTTACTATTTGGTAAGTGGAACTTTTGATATAGCTCTAAATTTGTCTTGTTGAATTCAGAATAATTATGAGTTACAATTTAAGTATGTACATTGTTATGATACCTACTACATGATAGCAGCAAGTTGTGTGATCATAAACAATGGTATGGAAGAAAATAAAACATTAGTTGTAAATGTTATATACTTAGTCCTATTTTAGGTTAAAAACCAATTTGCCGCAAAATATATTATTTACATACCTTATTATTTCTATTTAGAGATACTAAACTCGAACACAAACGCTCTATAATATAATAAAACGTATTTCCTAATAGACGCCACTATTTTTTGTATTTTGGATTGACAATGAACAAGATTTGCAGAAGCAAACACTACCAATCACAAGAACCAAACAAAATGTCAATTTTTTAGCTGTTGCCGGTTCGATAGGAAGTTGATGGCTGTATAATTAGGCATATTTTAGAATGAATTTTTGTTTTTAATTTTATTATTTACAGCATTTATTTTAATATCGTTAATGAATTGATATAATAAATTTATTTTACAATAAAATAATTTAAACGTATGTTCAAGAAGGCATGTAAGAAATAAATAACCATTGCCCAGCATCAATGACATTTCTGTGTTGTCAACCAACTACTTAACAAATGTAACAATAAAAAATTACTATACAAAACTAACAATTCACGTAAAAAGTGTAGAAAAATGTAATACGCTAAATCGTTTAAATAATGATTTATTTAGTAGAAATGATAAGGTACTTTAGAATATGTGATATACTCATACGTCATTGGATATACTATACTCTATTCCATGGCCTGGAATCTTATATGAATGACTTGGTTCATTCCCCCATCACTTTGACCCCAGCGAGTTAATAAAGAGAAATGACAGCCTATCTCTCTCACGAAGACTTTAACCAATCATAAACCAAATAAAATAATCAAACGAAGCAATGTCAATTCTGTCAATCCAAATTAATGACAGATCTTCCGTTTGTTTACAAGTTTTCAATTTTATTTTATTATCTTTAACTTTCGTTTGCATTTATTCTTAGTAATTTTAATTTAAATTTGGTTACTTAATTTTTAAAGTTTATTTTGAGTTACCTATTGTAGCAAAGAATTTTTGTGTTGTGCTAGTAACAAAACTAAACATGGTGAATTATTGTATTGTTCGTTGTGTACAAATCATGGAAAAATTACAAAAAGAATGATAGTAAGTTGTCAGGAAGCAAAAAATAATAGTATTTAACTTCTGCAAATATGTGTAATAAATATTATGTAATTATTTTATAACTGTTTTATCTTAAACAACAAATAAATATACGTATATCTAGAAAAAATTGTGCATCTTATATCCTTATTTTCCAATAAATTTTAATTAGTAACGAAATAGCCCACAAGAGGCGCTAAAGGGTATGTATGTAAGGGGTGTTCATTCGAATTTGCCGCCAAAAGATGATTAGTATTGACCCCAGCCGCAAGGGGCCTAATGAACGAAATTTATACATTGAGTTGCCTATCTATTTCTACTATTATATTATTTATCTATGACTCTATTCACTTAGCTCAGGCGTATTTTGACAGAGTCAGTGTCGGAAACCTACAACACAACAATTCCTACTTCTCAGGTATTAATAGCTCAAGTATACTTTGCTACTATTGCAGACTTCTTCCTTTGAAAAAAGAATAATTATTCTAAATAGTGGAAGTGTATACTAAACTCATCAAATTTTGGGTAGTATTATATTTAAAAAATATATTTTAGTTGTTATAATTTAACTATTTATTATATGGTGCAAATAAATAAATATTGATTGTTGGTAATTCGCATAGTTCTATTTTATTTACTATTTAGTTTGTTTACTATTAATATTGGCTATGAGTACGTGTGCTTGGTTGTATAGTAATTTCCAGCCATTTTTATTCTGTCAAAAAGTATAAGTAACTAACTTCGCAAAAAAATAATTACCAAATTCACTAGACAGTTCGGACTGGGAATAGCGAACCGAGTGTATGAGCTCTATGCCATGGGTCATGCCCCCAGAAGCCAATTTGTATGACTTTGTATTTTCGTATTTTGTATGGAGTGCAAATATATTATACGTAATTGGTGCAATTGTCACATGAAATCTTATTTATATTGAAGTTTTTTAACAATTGTTTCACATTTTAGACTGTTATCGTTAATATTTTTTAATTAAAACTTAACATATAAAAATATTGTTTTTTTTTAACAATATTTTTGCCCTCACTACCTTTACATTCCTCTTTTGTCTTTTTGCTCGATGTTGTGATGATAATCGAGAATTCTGTGATCGAGAACACGAGTTTAAGTGAATTTCAATACATTTCCTAAATCATGCAACACTGTACGATTCATTTGTGACCTGGATTGGATCTACAAAATTTATCTCGAATTTTACTGATTTTTGATTTTCTACTAATTTGAAAAACAGTTCTTATGAAAACACATTTTCATTCTACTATTGTTTCGAATTAAATGGTATGATCTATTTAATAATATGTTAGTATTCGTTCAATTCTGAATAATAAATGGTATATGGAACAAGATAGGGTATAACTGGGTATAACCGATTGTTGGATACATTAAAAATGGTAAAAAAATCCATTTTACAAAAATTTTTCATAAATTAAAAAACATTCAATATAAGGTGCTTGAAGCCCTAAATATATTATATTTCGCGGGCTCGTATTAATATAGTGTTATATTATTATAGGATGTATTCTTTTTAATTTTGTTGTGATTAATTGACATGTGGTAAAAATATCATGTCTCCATTTTGTTTATTAGAAACTCGCGCGCTTTGTTAATGTCAACAGTTTATTTGTGTATATATTTTAAAAAAAGTGGTTGATATTATCTCACGTGCATGAAGTTTTCTGCTGCTTTAAAACGAAATATTCATAGTTTTTACAGACTTACAGACATTATTTCAAGATTTCGGCATTTTTGCACTTAAGGTTAGACTAGCTACCCACTTGCAACCCAAAAATGAGCAAAGGCAGAAAAACTTCTCCAGACCCTGATGAACCTATAGAGGAATATACTGTTGAAAAAATTATAGACAGCAGAATTAATGAGCGAGGGGTTAAAGAATATCTGTTAAAATGGATTGGGTAAGAAATTTATTTCTTAAACAAAACCAGAATGTTTTAACAGCAGAAAGTTTGTTAAATTTTATAACATTCACATCAAATAGATAGATAACAAAAGTTCATTGTATCTACTATTTCAGTTCTGGTATTTTTGTTTTTCTAGCTATTTCTCTGAAAATTGTAATGTATTTTTAGTTTTCTTCAATGAAGCCTTGCAAGCATCTTGTCAATAATTCATTGTGAATTGAACTAAAACAAAATAAGGAAATAATTTCAATAAATGTTACTATCCCATGGAGCTGTAGATATCTTTATGGAAAATTTTGGGAACCGTTCTCAGTCTTTATACTATAGTAATTTGGTATGGGATAATCTACGGTTCCAACAGTGCAAAATAGTGGCAATAACATATTAAGGCATATTACACTCCTGAACTAAGTCACAGATGTTCAAATGCTCATGGGAATCTCAGTAAAACTCCTAAAAGGTATACAATCAATTAAACCACTGTATGACAATTACCTACAGGGATACCTGTCAACTAATGTGGAAGTGATTATAATCTGCTATATTTTAAATATAAATACAAGCACGAACAGTGACTAATTTTTCTCTACAAAGTTGTATGAATTGTAGCTTCGATCTTTCAAGTAAATATGATATTAATAACCATAAGAGTAGGAGGGAAAATAATTATAAGAATCAACCTTAGAAGAGCAAAACTCTAGCTACTCCATAATCTGGCAGCTAGCCAGTGCTAACTGTTGATGCTCCTTAATAAAAATCCTAGTTCATCTGGTAAATTTTGCTAGAAAAGTAAATAGCTGACCTAACCTGAAAGAGGAGAGATACTACTATGTATGGAGCACATGTATTATTATTATTAGAGTTTGGCTTTCCTCTTTGTCTGCTCTTCAGTTTTTCCATTTCCTCCTGATCATCTTTCTGTTCTCCTTTCTATTTGGCTTACTGTAACAGGAATAAAATTCATGGCTCGGTTTATTAACCACTTCTACAATTGTTATTACATTCTATAAAATGCAGCTTATCACACATCTATCTAAAAGTATAATATCTTATAATCACACATCTAAAAGTATTACTACAAAACAAAAGAGTAACTTGCAGAAAAGAATGGAATTGTATCAGCTGTTGGTGAATCAATCAAACACCTGTGTTATAATACATACAGTCAACCTGTTACTATTAATGGGTTATTGTATTATAATTATTTTCAAAATATTTAATGGGATTTAACTCCCTTATATGATATACTTATATGATATAATATATAATTAATTAAGTATAAATTTACAGTTATGATCATAAAGATAATACTTGGGAACCTGAAGGACATTTGGATTGCCCTAGTCTCATTAAAGAATATGAAATGAATAAGGAGAAAGAAAAGAGTAAGAATAAGAAGAAAGTGGATGAAAAACGAGGGAAAGATGATAAAAAAGCCCATGGATTTGACAGAGGTCTAGAACCTGAAAAGATAATTGGTGCTACAGATACATCAGGTAAATATTAAGGATTATAATATTATATACATAATTTAAAATCTACTTAGAGAGTACAAATTAAGTGGTATTTTGAAAAGATAATATGTAGTTGCATCACCACAAACTAGATGCAAGAAGCTCAAAATAGAAATAGGTGGAAAATTTTACAGGCGGCCTACGTTTAGCAGTGGACAAACATAGGCTAATTGACGATTGTTCTTAATAAATTCAAACTAGATTGACAATTTCTAAAAAAAACATTCCTAAAAACTATATATCATCTACAGAATTTAAGGAATTTCCATTCAGTCTCTGTGTCAGGAGATTATGTTTTCTTGAAAACAACATGCTCTTCGTTTTAGACTCAGAAACTTTTAATTGACTTGGACCAATTCTCTAAATTATTTAAGCCATGTTGTCTATGTTTCTAAACTTAAATAATATTTTTTCTCTTTGTATAAATTACCAAGTGTTCGGCATATATTCTGCCTTTAACTATTTGAGAATTGTGTTTTGGTATGTCATTAATAGCTATTAAACATAAAGTACTTATTGTTGACCCTTGTGGAATTCCATTCTTTTGTAACCATTTAGATGATACATCGTTATGTAGATGAACACTATAATATTGTTTTTGTGTCTTCCTACTAGAGGTGTGCTTATTAGTTCTTTTAGACGAACTAGTTCAACAGAACTATTTCACAAAAATGAACTAGTTCAGTGAACTAGTTCGCGAAAGAACTATTTGTAGGACCGACATCGAAATCCAACCCTAACAGAACTGGTTGCCAGATGTCTCGTCTCAATCATCACACAAGCTCGGCGCTAGCCGCCCGTTTTCTTTCAGTCTTTCACTAGTTCACTACCGTACAAGTAGTTCGGAACTATTTCTTTCGATCGTATGTTTAGGTTTAAATGGTTTAAATTATTATATGATTAGTTAGTTTTTATTTGCAAAAAATTATTAAGATTTGTTTTTTATTAACCGTTTTAAATATAAATATGGTTCAAGTATGATTTATTTTTATATTTACGTATATTTAAACTATATGTAAACTATATAGTATATATAGTTAGGTTATTTCTAAAAGAACCTTTACAAAAAAAATCAGTGAATTTTCTAGGAACATTAAATAACACATTTTCATTCTCACTTTTACATAAAATTATATTTTATGTAAATGCGTCAATCATTTTAACCACAACTAAAATTTTAATTACAATACAAGAAACAACACAGCATGGCAACATCCATTCATAAGAATTATGAATCTGTTATGTGAGGCTAATCGGCATTTTTTTTTAAACTAGTTAATCCATCCATTCACAAAATAAAAAATTTATATGTTCTAATTTATTTATTCATTATTTTCTTCTTTAGAAGTTGAGACATAATTTATAATGCAAATCGTTCGCAGTGAACTAGTTTTATGAAAATTAATTAACTAGTTCAATTAGTTCAGTTGAAAGAATCATTCATTAGAACTATTTCGATGGTGAACTACACATCCCTACTCCTTACCGTATCATATGCTTTAATAATATCGTTAAACACTGTGATACTTGTTAGTTGATTTGCAAATTCTTCATTGATTTCAGATTCAAAGTCCATTAGGTTATTGGTAGTGCATCTCTGTTGACAGAAACCACTTTGTTTAGGAGCTAGTAGTTTATTTTGCTCAAGGTACCAGAGAAGTCTATAGTTTATCATTTTTTTCCAAATATTACATATGACAATTGTTAAAGATATTGGTCTATAAGATTTTGTTCTAGGTTTGTCGGGTTTTAGTAATGGAGTTATAGTTTTATTCCAACTACTAGGAAATACATTATTGGTCCATATATAATTATATAAATTTAGTAGATAGTCATTGCTTTTATCTGAAAATTTTTGTAAAAAGATAGCCAGTATATATAGACCCTGAAGATGTATTTTTTGTTGAAGCTAGGGCATCATTTAATTCAATTATGGTGAAGTTATCAACCGTGAATTGGTGGCCGATGTTTCTGGCTCTATTGTTGGGTGTTGATGTCATTATCTTAGTTTTCTTCTCATTTACTTGGAGGCCCATATTTTTTGAGGCATTTGACAAGATGGTATACATTTCTTGTAGCTTGCGTTTTGTGCAGGCAACTAGGTCAAATGCCTGTGATTGTTCGCAGTGTATTTCGACTTTGCAAACAACTTAATGCATTGACTAAGATGGGCAGGACATCTGGCAAGATCACAGCAGAACAACCCTCCTAGAAGAATCCTTATGTCACAACCTGTAGGAGGTATCACTAGGGGTAGTCCAAAACTCAGATGGAAGGATAAACAGTTATCAATTGATAGAACTGACTGGCGCAATAGACTTGGGAAGGTCGGGGATCTTTTATAGGGCTGTAGCATCAATGATGATGATGATGATGATGGTGAAGTTATAGTTGATTGGATGGATTTCTTCCTCATTAAATCCTAAAGGTACTTTTTCACGAATAAGTTTTGTTTCTAATAATTTTTTTGTATAATTATGATCATTGGAATTGTTTTCGAACTGTGTTGCTAATACCTCAGCTATTTGTTTTCTATTAGTAATATTTTTCTTTTCTACTTTATTTTCATGTGCTAAAAAAGGGAATGGTTGAGTATGTTTTTTACTTGAAATTTTCCTGATGTTTTTTCAGACAAGAGAAGGCGACATTGAACTGTTTATAATTGATACAAATTCGCGCCAAGACTGTGTTCTGCTGTTTTTTATAATATATTGCTTGTGCTCTTAGTTTTTTATACTCAACTAAATTTTGTTCTGTTCTTGTTATGTTTTTTGAATGTAAATCTATATTGTTTTAGTTATTTTTCTAATAACCTCTTTATTAATGCCTATTTTTGTTTAGGTTCACTGATGTTTTTGATGAAATGGGTCGGTACTGACGAGGCCGATCTCGTACCAGCTAAGCAAGCCAACGTGAAATGTCCCCAGGTAGTAATTAAGTTTTATGAAGAGAGACTAACTTGGTCTGCCCCACCATCAGAAGATTACCGAAATTAAAAGTTGTGTATTCTTAATTTTAGGCATAGTAACTTAGTTGTTTTTCAGTTTTCTACTTGTTTAATTGGTCTTATATTTTTGATAAGATAAAATTTAATTTTAAGGTGTAAGTGGATTATTGAACAGAAAACTGTTGATTCTTATTACAGTTATACAGAGTTTATAGTATACTAAACTCCCGGATTATGAAAGTTTTTGAATATATTGGGACCATAAAATTTACAAGAACACAAATTACAGTTACTTTAGTCATCTCTGATTATTTAGTCATAGGGACGCCACGGTTCTAATCCAATGGCATAAGCAAATAAACATGTATTGTTCACTGTAAAATTTACAATAAAAAATTCCACTGCCTTCGCGTATATTTTAAACTGTTTCTGTCAATTTATAATATATTATTGAAATCAACTATTAAGACTGATTCAAAAATTACTTTAGCGAGAAATTGACGTTTAAAAAAAGAGTGCTATAGTGTAATTTCGAGACAGCTTTCATGTAAAAACAAACTTTTTTACTTGTTCAAATAAAAGTAGGTACCACCTGTTGTAACTCATTTATTAAATCAGATTTGATTGGTACTTTAATTTTCCATGAATCAGATAGAATTGGGTATTTGAATAAGTTTTACCGAAAATATAAAGTGAACTATAGTAGAAATTAGACAATATGTTTCAGATGTACATCATCTAAATTTATGATAAATTTATGCACTTCATCCTTCACGAATTCTTGGCTGAAATACTCTTATTCAATTTTAATAATATTACCGCAATTATTTGTCCATTTCTGACGTGAGGCGTTATTTTTTCAATTACTTTGTGTTTGTTATCTTTTGTACATGTGCTAATTTAAAAGTAGTGTTTCTTTTTTGTATGTCACCATTTCATATTTTAAAATGGCCCATATATTGTCAATCGGGTTAAGTTCCGGATGATATGGTGGTAAACATAGAAGCTGTACTCTGCTCAAATCTTTCAGTCACAGAGTGTGTTGCCATACTTCTCCAAAACGGCTTAACCTATTTTTATGAAGTTGTATATGTATTTTCGGTAGGTCTGAAATCAGTCATAATCTAAACACTTTTTTTATTTTTTGGACAAAATATTTTATTTTTATTTTTTTATGATGTGGCATTAAACAATACAGGTCATACTTTTCACCCTTCTATCACTAACCCTTGTATTTTACAAGCCATATTAGTGACTTTATCATTTTAAACCTGGTCGATAACTGATCAATTATCAGTAGATGCGCCAGACTTCCACCAGTCTCACTTTTCGCCCAGTAAACAGAACGAAGTAGCGATGAAATCGAAGCCGGTCTCGTGTCTCTCTGACTGCGAAAGCTCTATACAGTTTTCATCCATTATTATTGTTTACAATTATCATTTCACCTTCCCAGTGTAATTCTCAAGTAAATTTATTTAAATTAATTTGCTCAGCTGAGGTAATTCAGCGCGTTTTTCGGACATAACTCACAAGTTCAAAAACTATAATTTGACGAACAATATTGGCGTCAAAATTTTTTTTTCCAGAAAATTTATTTTCGTTCAAATCAGTTAACACAGTTATAAATCAGGATGACGTAGTCAGTTATCCTACAGAGTTTTTGAATTCATTGGAATTGCCTAGACTCATACCTAACAATTTACAATTAAAGGTAGGATCAGTTGTCATCATACTGCTTAGCATTAATCAACCTTGTATGTGCAATGGAACGAGACTGACTTTGAAAAGTCTAATGAATAATGTCATTGAGGCAACCATCATCAAGGAAAAATATAAAAGAGAGAATGTCATGATCCCGCGTATACCAACTATTCCAACGAACGTATCATTTGATTTTAACCTTCCTACTCTCCCGAAGTCAATGTTACATTCTTTGTCTATGTATACGGATGGACCCAGTGGATAAAAAAAAACGTTTTTTTTTGTAATAAAAAATATAAAACTTTATATTCAATTAAAATTATATATTTATTCAATGCAACTTTTACAAAAGATATTTGAATGATCAGGACAAATAAACCTCTTACATGTTTGACATCTTGTACGAGATTTTCTATCTTTTTCCCATCCGCAGTCTTTACACCTTCCACGTTTTGGACTTTCATTTGCATTTCCACTTGTTCCAGCTACTGCATGTAAATGTAATCGTGACTTCTGAAAAGAGACTTCATCATTATAAACGCTGATCTCGTTTTTCCTATGCGTTGTTTTATTTCACTGGAGTGATCCCATTGGTTTTTAATGTTGGTACCAAGGTACGTGTAGCTATCCACTCTGTCAATTTGATGTTGGTTAACCAAATGCTGCGTATTTATTATTTCGCGCTTACTGACTACCATGTACTTTGTTTTCTTCGTATTAAGATCAAGTCCGTGTTCTCTACTTATATCTACTCGACATTATTATTTGCAAACCGTCCAGACTATCTGCAAAAACTATTGCGTCGTCGCCATATCTAATGTTGTTTAGACGCATTCCGTTGACTAATACGCCTTCTTGTAGTTTCCTAGCGCTTGCTTGAAGATATATTCAGAGTATATATTAAATAACATCGGGGACAGAATGCATCCTTGCCTCACTCCTCTATCTATGGAGACTGCCTCTGTCAATTGGCCATCCACTTTAATATTGGCTGTTTGGTTGTAATATAAATTATAGATGATTCTCAAGTCCCTATCATCTAACTCCACTTCTTTCAAGATGTTTATAGTTTATCATGCTTTACTCTATCAAATGCCTTTTTGTCGTCGATAAAATACGTATACACATCACAGTTAACATCCCTGCATCTTTGCATAATCACTTGGACAGCGAATAGAGCTTCTCAGGTGCCTAAGGAATCGCGGAATCCAAACTGCGTCCATGATACTTGTTCTTCGCATTTTTGTATATCCTGGCGTGTAGTGTTGGCTAGTGAGTCGATGTTTCGAAGCAATGAGTTGAGTCACAAAACTGTTTCAATGTTTCGGTACATTAAATGTTTACTGTTTCGAAACATCGAGTCAGTACGTGTCATCGTGTCGACTCCAAAGATCACGTCGACTCTCTCGTTGTTCGGTATATTCTGTGTTGCTGTGCTGTTCGTCTCGTTCTCGTATACTACCGAGAAAAAAATCTAATTAAATAAAACCAGACTAAATATATTTAACCTACACCTAAGACCTAAAACAATAAATTTGTGCTTAACAAGCTCAAATCCCTAATCGTTCAGAAATCCTCACAATGTTTTAACAATCACATTGCTGTCACGTGCCTTACAGAAAATGAATCGGCAGTCTGCACGACATATGATATCTTTGCATAGCAACCGAATATGAGTCGTTATGATATGAAGTTACAGTATCGGGTAGAATGTGTCAATTGTTTCAATGTTTCGAATCATTGTTTAGAAACATCACAGTGAGTTAGTTAAAATGATTCGAAACATTCAAATGAGTCATTTCGCCCATCACTACTGCCGTGTATCACTTTCGAGAACGTTTTAAGTATATAGCATAGTACATAGCATCATAACCGCATATTTTACCACCAAATTTCAAACAGTGTGGGTCTGACACACTGGATGTGAGTACTGCAGTGTTAAAATAATTAATATACCAAATTAGGTACCTTTTGAATGAAATAATGCGAAGATTGAAAATCGGTCGAAAACGGTATATCGGTAAATGACCGCCGAATTGGCCGAACTACCGAAATATCGGTAGATATTACATGATAAGAAACACCTTTCGAAACTGTGGGTGACTGTCATTCTACTGATGATTTCTTTCCAGTTCCGCTTTTGTTCGGCTCGCTTCAGCTTACCGTACTAGGAACTAGCAGCTTTACTTATGCCAACAAGTGCATTAACTAAGTCTACTATAACTAATACTAAAGTATAATTGAAAGTAAATGACTGAAATCATATTTTTATTGTAGAATACTAAAATCTACTAATTTTGATATGAATAGGTCTTATGTTACGCTTATTATTCCCAGTGATTAAATATTCTTATGAAACATACCAACACTAATTTTAACGTTAAGAAGCAACAGAAAAATTGTGATAAAAAATTATTCAAAACTGTTATAGGTTGAGCCTGTCCCAATTCCTATCTGTGTGACTAGCATCTAAAGAAGTTATTATTGAAAGTATGTTTAAATCAGAAAAATAAATAATTGTATTAAAATAATAATGTTTATGCATATCGAAAAATCATAGTAATAAACTCATGTGTGAGAATAAACAATCACATCAAATTATGACCTATTTTACATTTAAAAGCTACTATTGAGTGTTAGTTCAATATAAAAATCACTAACTAAGATTAGGGTTCCCTAAAGTAACACAATCATAAATGACAACAGTATAAACCATCTTTCTAAGACCAAGAGTTATATAAATGGTATAGAGAAATAAACATGTTTTTACTTTATATGTAAATGTTTTAAAAGCATTTGAACCGTTTCACATAATAAATCTTTTGTCTACTTTTATGTTTTATAAACTATGCAGCGATTCCTGCTCGACGGGATAATAGAATGGTTTTATATGTTTAAGGTGACAAATATTATGTATAGGTGATTAACTATGAAAAAAAAAAGAATATAAATAGCTTAAATTTAGATGTTTCTTGCTATTAGGCGATGATAAAATGTATGATAAAATATTTAATTATGTGGCTGCTGCAATAAAGAAGAATTAAGGTACTATTGTCGTCTAGAATAATAAAAAGTTACACATTTTCAATATTTTTTTTGTTTCTTATTCATTATATATGGCAATTAAACTCGTTTTATATTATACAACTTTTAAAGGTTACAAAATTGTTTTCTGTTTTTTTCATTGTTCGTGTATTTTACAGATGGCAGTTCTGAGCACACTAGTTCGCTCCCAAGGTCAAAAAATCCTCTTAATTGCATACTAGTTTGCTCCGAAAACCATAACCTAGTTCGCTCCCGTGGTCAAGCGGATTAAGTATTTATCCATTTAAGTTTATAGTAAGTTCT